TCAAAYATATCGGTGATTCAAGCAATCGGCATATCAAACAGTCTGTCAGTCAATCAACATCAATCAATAAACGTTTCAATAAATCAAGATATTAAATAATTGATTAATTAATCGATCCATCAAGTAACAATGCTAAAACATTCCCAGCATTTGTTATGTAAAATCTTTCATTTCATCAATGAACTTCCTAGATGATAAAAAAGGCAAAATTTACTGTCAAATAGTTTTGTATTTTTTTCACAATTTTCGGTGATAATTTCCACTGCTTGTATCACTGGAAATATGATATCAAAATTGATACATTTTCTTCGCATGTTTTTTCTTCTTATACAGGAAACGTGTTCTTGAGAAGGCCAACGGCTTTGGCTGTCATCCACTTRGTAGAAAACAAGTGTTCTTCGCGTTCAAATTCCGAAACGTGCTCGAATAATAGCTGATATAGGAAAGCATAAAAACGCTGTCCTTTCTTTAATGTACTTGTTTTATCTTTGATGTGATATATATGTTTTGTGGACCACAATGTATAAGATATAATGCGAGCTATGTTCATCTATCTAAAGTATTTCTTCTTAAAGTAGCTTTATTGCAGTTGGCAGTCTTTTGCTTCATAACGCTGTTGAGAAGGTTTTTTTCTTCGTCTCTTAAGTGTGACTGGCGAACTGTCTTCGTAATTCAGTGAAACGACCGCTAGTTACTTTCAAAAGAGAGTGAGGGATTTTGGCGCACTTCTACTCGATACACTTCAATGAAACACAAATTTTTACTTTGAATTATAACTGATTATTTGTACTTACAGTTAGCTTCGATAGATAGATTGACACCTTGTAAACATCACGACAAGCAGGCAACGATTCTAAACACACTCTACGGAGACTAGATACTCCTATGTGAACGGTACTTAAAAAAAATGAAGTCCCAAATATTTTACAATAATAAGAGTCACGCCGTCTCGACTGTGAGCCATGTTTCGTTTTTCGCCTCATACCATTTGTATTCTAGGACAATAGACGTTCTTGAGTGCCTAATAATTGATCTTTTGAAAATGCAACGACGTGTGTGAACACCACAATTGGAGCCRCAACAGAGAAATATCACGTCTATTCAACAAAAAAAACGGTACAAGATGGACTTTTGGTTTTAAGCATGAGGCGAGGCGGTGATGTCTATCTTTTAGGTGGTACCATTCAGAAGGAAAGTCTCTCCCACAGTGACATAAATATTATTCATATGATAAAATGCCTTTTTGTATGATAACATGCTAAGGTATTTAAACCCGGATGATAAAATTAAACTGAACCCTTTTGCTTCTCTTCACATTATAAACAGAGTTAGCGAATTATCCGTTATTTTAATAAGTCTGCTATACTTAATCCTTCTAAAACGAATAAAAAGTTGAAAGATTCACAAAGTTTCATCGTCTTAACGATGTAAGAWTAAGTTGATATATCGACTGGATCTAAAATCATTCTAGAATTAGAGGGATTACTCGCTTATAGTGTCATATTAGCCTTTGTTAATGTTAATTGACAAAATTAAGATAAATTAAATAGAAACTTATTGKAATTTGACTCAGTATTTGATAGAATTAAAGAATTCTTCTCGTTTTAAACACTTTTATCACCGACAACCATGAGATCCATAAGAATAATGAGTACCCTAAACTCTGTAAAAACACACGTACGTTTACGTAATTACGTCTGAATGTACAACATCCCTCCTCGTGACAAATATTTCGGCTTGATTTGTATCAAGCTACAACATGTTTTGGTAAAAAAAAATAACTTAAGCTATTGATATTATTGAAAATAAAATAAAATGCAAAACATTATTTACTTACCGAAGGTACATTAAGCGACATAAATAGCATTTCAGTAAATGGTTTTGGAGTGTTCCTATTAGGGAAGGATACGAGGTAGTGTTTGGATAGTCTTACAATAGCCGTGTCCTTTAAAGAAAATTAACCCATGTGTTGCCGGAAAACTCCATAAATGCGATTGAATGTTACTGATAGACGCAACAATATTCACAGAAAACATTTGAACCAATCATTTTCACAGTGGGCGAGGAAACGTATYTATACGATTGTCTCCGTCTGAAATCCGTATCCCCCAGCAGATGTCTTCACATGCATGATATACGGAATTCTTTATACATTTAAAGGTTTTCAGTGCAACTAATTTTAAAGGAATATTGCTTCATAAAAAATGAAGAGATACTGCTGAGATGAACGCTTATCATTTAAATTTTTCTTACCGATTTGCAACTACGTTTCTTGAATTGAATAGAGACATGATTGAAAGGTTCATTGGGATTTTTTTGTCTTTGTTATTTATATTGGCCTTGTGTAGTGTGGTTAATCGATAGAATACACTAGCCTGAGATCGAATTGAGTGACGATGATCGATGTCTACTGAGTATATTGAAAAAAAAGCTAGTCATTTTATTGACAAAGGAAGTTAACCAATATCACAGCAATAAAAGGTTATTTTTTTAAGAAATCACTGTTAAATAATGTTTCTTATCRATACCAAACTGTTGGTCTTTTGTCGCGATATTTTAGAACCTGACACAAAAAACCGCAGCCCGCGTTAGTGCTATCTTTCAATCGAAAACGTCTTATCATAAATGACCGTTTTCTAAAGAACCGGATTTCTTTGAAACCTTTTTACTTTTGTTCTTCATCTCAATTTGAAAAAATAAATGGATGAATAAATCATGGAACAGAAAAAGATTTTAGCGAGAATTCGAGCAAGACTTGAAGATGTTAGAGTTGCTCAAAAACCTAGACTGTACTACAAGTGTTAATAAATCCTTAATTTCTTCCCTGATGTAGCTCAATGAGGCTTAAATGATCGTTTATGATAGCTAAATTAAATTAAGTTTGTGAATGGAAAGACAGCGTGTTTATAAAAGTATATAGACTGTATTTAGTTGWAATCGAGCAGATCGAGTAAGAGCGCTTTCTGGAATACAGTGCTATATTGATGATGACGTCAATTTTATTGCACTATGATAGCGTCATCGTAACTGTCAATCATACAGTCTCTGGGCATACCCAATATGACTAGCATTCCCGCGCTTATGACGCGATCATTAGCACAATCGCCATCATCGTAGACTTAGTTCTACTAGGCTTTTGATTGGTAACGATCACTCTGGTCCAATCCTCTTCGAGAGCGCTTGATGCTGGTCTTAAACTTATCAATTCTAGAAAACTTGTATCAAACGAGTTCCTTAGCAAGGGAGAAAAAAGACACTACTGCACTTTTTCATCATATTGATCATAGTATATGGATCAATGAAGTCGAAATATTTCCGCCCTTTTTCTCTAGTTTCATTACCGTAAGCTGCTTAATATTTTATAGCTTTTTTCTGGCAAATTCCGCAACTTATAAGAAACGCAGGCATGTTATAATGTTATAATGTCATTTAGTTTCTTAATTTCATTTCTATCATTATAATTTGGAGGTTACAGCTACTACAAACATTGAAAAACCTTTGATAATTGAAGCTTCGGATCGTCTGTAGTCCGGCGTTTTATACTTCTTAAAACAACAAAAGAAAATTAAAGAAATTAGTCCAGATTATCGAGAAATGTAAAGTATGATACGAATACTTGTTACAGACTGGAATTTAACTACGCTACTGCACATTATCAATATTTGTAAACGTGCTTATGATCTTAGCACGTATGTTACTGCACTTTAAGCAATATAATTAGCTTGGGTACGGCCCTCCAAGTGCACTTGAATGTAATAATATGGATTACGATCCAAAGTCGTTACATTCTCGGYTGTAGTTTCTATAATAACTCTTAAAAATCATCCACACGAGACAATATTAAAATACACTAATCCTTTTAAGCATGTTACTCGGTCAATTCGTCTCCATAATATTGCCCGCGTTTCTAAAAGAAGAATTAGTAAATAGACTTTTTACGGAAAACAAGGTTTTATTTGTTGTTGTATTTCCAGGCAAACAGATTTCGTCTACATCATTAAGTCCATTAACGACGGCTCRTTTTTAATCCTTAGTACAACAAGATGAACATTGTTTTCCATTTAATTTTTCACAGCAAGATCTTCCTGCGAACTTAATTCGCCGCGCAATTCATTCATTTCGTGCCATCAGTGCGCGCGTGATTTCCTTCATGGTACACTATCAAATTAGTAATATTTTTCAAACCGAAGTTTACAATTTCTAATTGGATCAAGGATTCCGTTTAATGGGATAAAAAGATTTAAAACCGTCAAATTCTTTGTTGAAAATAGCGTGATTTTACTAAATGTGATTTGTAATGATTTATTAGCGCTTYATTGCACTTGAAAAAAKGAGTTTTTCTATCAGAAATGCTCTAACTCATTCATGTTTCACTGTTTTCATTTTTGACTTGTTTAATTGTCATGTTTAATTGTAAACAAGACCGTTCAAAGTCGAATTTAACAAGAGGAAAAAAATTAGTTATGGCAAGTACTTTTACTTTCCGATCTTCAGTACATACCAAATCCTTCGCTTTTTTTTATAACGCTTTTATAATCCAAAAGCGGCAAACCTCTTGTGTTATCAATTCGTTGTAAATGTAAAAGTTAGTGTTGCTGATAAGACATTATTCGTCAATAGTCGTTTCTATATATTCATTTCTATATATTCTATTTTTCTCGGTAGTCTAAAGTAATTACGTTCAGAAAATTTCAGTTAGGACAAGAATTGCTCTCGAATGACGTCCGTAAGAAGTCGCTATAGGAACAGATCTGACTTCTAAATGAAGTTTCTTTTCTTTTTTTTTCTTTTTTTTCTTTTTTTCTTTTTGTCATTTCTTTAGAGGAACTGAAATTCAGAGTTCGAGTATATAAGGACAGTGAGATCTGCGATATTTTAGAGATCACGCATCGCATCATTATCTTTTGGGGCTCAAGGATCAAACTTTCTGCTGTCGCTCAGATCGAGATCACAAATAGGGATCAGACCGGATCAGGAATCTAAACTCTAAATATCTTAGGGATCAGGAAATATATTATTATAGCTCTAGAATAGGGGTAACTAAAGAAATACACCCCTCGTTACCACCCTTAGAAATCACCAATTGACTTACCATCAGCAGTCGACGAAACAATGGCTGCTTGCAGGGTTTACGCTTATTTTCCCATGTTAGATATTCCTTCAACGACGTGTCTAAATCAGTCACAAAAATATTCTTTAATCCTCCAAAGAGTTACTAAACTGTAGTGTGTTCGCTTCATGCACTCGATGTCGAATAGATTAAAAATTACGAAAACAAATTACTTTCAGAGTCTGACGCGCGTACTGAAACTATGGCGAGAGTAAAAATGTGATGATCGTCGACAATCACTATCGTTAATCAGCTATAGTTTTGTGCGTAAATGGTTGTCGTATGTACCTAAAGATGATTGAACAGTGGTCAGGTAATTCCCTCACAGGTTTGCGGAAATTTCGCGCTTTGTCTTGGCGGTCTACCACTAGTTTATAAATCAATACCAAATGGGGAAGTCTGATGGCTAAAGCAAAAATGTACCTAACAGCCCCTGGACTAAAAATAAAACAGCAATTAAGACGATGTTTTTTTACTATAAAAATTTGATCTTAGATAAGAGTGAAATATGAGTTGAAACGAAATGGCTGCGCCAGTAGTCTGCGGCAATGGCGCACCAAATAATAACTAAATCAATTAGTCGTTACATGGGAAACCTATAAAATCCCTAAGTATTCACCATCGAAAGATTATTTAATGGATTCTGTAGTTTCCAATATTGCGTGTTCTTATCAAAACATCTCAAAAACTTATTTTTCTGTCAGTTCGGGTTTTTTTTATAGATACCGGCTATTATACAAACATTGTTTAGTGTGAGAAACAAGTCTTCTTGCTTACAAACCCGTGATAATTTAAAAAAATCTTTTTTCGTTTTCGTAGTTTATGTATTCAGATAGAGAAACCACTATTTCTAATTTCCTTACCATATTTTGTGAACACAAATTCGGGAGTGTTAATCCTCCGCAGATATGTTGTGGTCTTCCAGATTCAGCAACTAAAATCTTTTACCCAAAAATTGTTTATTTACTTTTTGCAGTATTATGATATATTACGCGTCGGTTTTATTGCGCCAGAGGAAGGATAAAATGGATTTTATTTTAAAAACCTCACTACCTTTTAAAAACTCCTTGAATATTTAATAATTTTATAATTGCTGTTTGAGATGAAGTAACGTCTGACGATACTAAATCATGGACATATTGAATCRTGGAAAGATCAACTTGGTTTTCAAGTCAAGATGGCGGGATTTATATTTTATATATTTGTTCATTAATTTACCAGTTAAAAGGATGAAAAATATCCCGTCTCTCAGCTTCACAAGATTAAACAGATTGTATTCGGTTTCATTAATATTTTACAGAAATATCTAGAACAAGTTGGCGGCCATTTTAAGGCATTAGTTCAATTACCCAAGCCTAAAAAAACCACTAGAGAGCATTCTGAAACATTTATGTGTGCGTCAAGAAAAAAATCACAGAAAAAAACATCAACATTTCCGTGTATATTATTATAAAAAAGAGGACTATAGAGT